CTTCTTCCTGGGCTGAGGAGGTGGCGATGAAGGAGATCCCACCAAGGTACCGACACTCCCCTGCTGCTTTGATCGAGGTGCTGCGGTACTAACGACTTCCTGCTGCTCTGTCCCCGGAACCGGTCCACCAGACCCAAATCCAGTAGCCCAAGATCCTAGTATGCCTCTCAAATCCTCTGTCGCTGGGACGTACTCGGACGTGTCTAACCTCTGAGGCCTCCTCTCGAGTGTCGCCTCTGGCACTGCCGTGGGCTGCTCCTCAATCTCCTCTGGTCCATACTCAGGTGTGCCTATCCTCTGGAGTCTGCCCTCGATGGCACCCTCCTCCTCAATCCTCATCTCTCTCTCAAGAGGCTCCTCTATCCCCTGCTCAGGTGAAAACAAACTCACCTTCTTCTGCATAGTATGCACCGCCTCAAGGAGCACGCCCATGGATTCCTCTACTGAGCCCTGAGCCGGCTCACTGCTAGATGGTGGCAGCCCCTCCTCTACTGCCAAAGGTACGACTGGGCCCGCCGCTGCTATTGGCAGTGTCGCGAGCTCGGTAGGGGCTCTGAACTCGAACGCCTCTCTCTCCACCTGTCTCTGTGCTCTCGCCTCTCTCTCCTGGCGAGGCTCTGTCGCAGATGGCTGTCCTGGCAGTCCCTGTCCTGGCTGCCTTTGCTCTCCCTACCGGCTGCTCTCTGGTCTGTCCACCTTTCCCTGGGTTTGCTCCCTCAGGCTTTCAATGATAGCTGCCTGGCTGGCCACCAAAGCCCTAAGTTCCTGAATTTCCATCTCCATAGCCTCCAGGCGTACTCCATGGCTGGCTTCCTTCATTTTCTTCCCCGCTAGATCGCCTTCCAATAACAAGTGCCGGTCAAAAGTGGTCTTGGCCAGGAACTTGATTTTACGATCTAACCTTTCTTCCGCCTTCCTGGCCACCCCAAACCCGGCTCYGACTGGCGATGGAAGCTCCTCTCCTYTCTGCTCYCAGAAGTCYCTCCAYATCTCAGGRATCTCYGGGGCCYTRGCTGGYGCGCTGGGTGGCTGACCYGGRAGTGCTCCTGCTGCCTCCGATCTCTGCCTCTCCTGCTGCTGCTCCGGGAGCTCCCCCGCTGCCTCCAACCTCTGCCTCTCCTGCCATATCTCATCTATCCGCCTGGTTCGTCTCGCCCTCTTTTCTTCAGCCGTCTCTCTAGCTGGCACCCTCTCCCTCGTGCGGAGGTCGACCCTCTTTGGGATCTCTGCTTCCATCTCCTTCTCGGGATGGCATGACTCCTGGCGTGGCTCTGCAGGTGATGGCTCCTCCAGGTCTGGGCGCTCCAGGGCATGAGCTGCTAGGTGCCTATCAATCAGGATCAAAGCTTCTCTCCTTACAACTGCCCTCTCTCTCCTCCTTTCTGCCCTCCCTTCTGGTGAAGGAGCCTTTTCTGACGAAGGTAAAGGGGTCTCCTCTCTCTGCAACCCCTCCTTTGCCTGCCGGGTGCTCCCTTGTGCATCCATGAGTCTCAAACCCACTGCTGGCGTCTGTGGGGGCGTGTCCTCTCCAACCTCTATCACTTCCTTCCCTGCACGTCTCCCCTCATCGCCCAGCCCTCTCTCTCGCTGAGTACCCCGGACCTCTTCCTGTGGTACCTCCTCCCGTGGCATCTCCTCTTGTGGTATCTCCCCCTGTGGCACCTCCTCTCGTGGCAACTCCTCTCGTGACACCTCCTCTGCCTGCTCTCCATGCCCCTCACCCTGAAGCGACGCCCTCCACCGAGAAGTATCTAAATGCATCTTCAATTCCCACAAGGGCCCCTATGACGCTGGTGGCTCCCCCTGTGTGTGTGCTGGCGACCTCCTCAATCCACCCTCAGTAAAACGATGGAACTCCACTGGCCTCAACCCACACTCAGGGTATGCCCCCCGCTCCTCATCCTCTGGCTCCTGCTCTCTCCTGGCTATGGCCTTCCGTCCTCCTCGAGATGGTCTCGCCTCCCTGGGCTTAGGGTCCCTCGGCCTCTGACTCCTCTGCCGCCTCTCGACTCTGGGCTGAGGGATCTCTGGCCGTCGAAAGGCCTCTCTTAAATGTGCCCTGCAGCTCTCCCAATCTCGTACCATGTCCCTGATCTGCATAACCAGTGGCCTTTCCGCCTTCCTGGTCCAGAGTGGTAGTGTCTGCATCCAATCATCTCTCTGTATGCCCTGCTCTTGCATGAACCACTCAAACGCGGGGATGAAGTCCGACGCATTTCCAATCTCCAGGCGGATCGGCCTGCCATCAGGTCCCACAGGCGAGGGTCGCAACTCCTCCATCCTCATCTCCACCTCCTGCCTCGTCGTCGCCTCCCTATGAATCCTGGCAATGGGCTCTTCGAACCTACCTGCTCCCCTCAATCTCTCAATCGTCTGAGCGACGGTCCAGCCCATACGCCTCGCATGCTCCCAGAAACTGTCCAGGAATAGCTCGATGTTCCCATCATTGTAGACTGGAGTACTCTCTCGATGGCGAGACCCATGCCGCTCATATCCTCCTGATACGCCCAATGGCCTCTGAGGCGGCCGTGTCCCCTTCCCTCCTCTTGGCATGACTGTCTTCGTAAAGTCAGACCTGCGCAACAGGCGAAGGAGACAACAGGCACACATTGGGGTAAGCAAGCAGGTGATAATGAGAGCAAGCTCAGACCAGACCACACTCATGCAGCATGCATCCTTCCTAATCTACACACCCTGTTACTTCTATTCCTAAAGGCGGTCAGGTCATCTCTCTTACCTCTTCTCTCGCCACAAATTTCTTCAGTCGCGTTCCAGATACCCAATCCTTCCACTCAGTCCTATTTAACTCCTCAATCTGGTACGCTCCGAAGTCTCCGACCCGTGCGATTCGGTAGGGACCTAACCATCTCTTATCGATCTTCCTCGACCACTGCTTCTCCAGCGATGTATCGTAGAGAAGCACGACATCCCCGACTGCCAAAGGTACTTTCCTCACTCGCGCAGACTGATCCCATCGAGCCTTATCATCCATACGGCTTCTCGCCACCTGGTCAGATGCCTCCTGGATCCTTTCTTCTATCGCCCCAATCTGTCGCGCCCGAATATCGAGGAACTCTTCAAATGACAGGTTAACTTCCAGATCCTGGCGCCTCCATGTCTTAAGAAAGCTTTCGGTAGGGAAAGTGGCATGCCTTCCGTACCACAGCGTCGCAGGTGCGTACTTGTTGGATCTCTTTACTGTAATGTTCTCGACAAAGAAAGCCGCCCTTAGGTATGTTGGCCATTGATTAGGCCTACCTTGGTCCATTTGGCCAGGAGATTCGTAATGGTACTATGTCCTCTCTCTACGGGAGCATTTGCCTGGGGGTGCGCGACCGTGGTGTAGTTGGCTGCCACACCATACCTTGATAACAGTTCTTGCACCTCCTGGCAGGTAAACTCTGATCCCCTGTCCATTACGAATTCCCTGACGAAAGGATAACGCAGGTAGTTTCCTCGATGCAGCTCACCACGACTGACCCGGTCTTTGTGGGAATAGCACGCCCGTCTACGAACCCAGACAGGTTATCGCGCGCATCGAAGATATAGTTATAGCCTTGATCCCCAAGTGGCATAAAAAGTAGATCGAGATGCACTACAGCCCCCACCTCTCGCTCTAACCTGGGATGCAACGGCTCTCCTTGCCTTAAACGGGATCTTTCCTGGCAAGGTACGCAAGATCGACAGAACTTTTCGACCATATCCATCATCCCATCCCAGTAGTACATCTCACTTATCTTGGCATACGTGGCTTGTGCCCCTCGATGTCCTCCTGCAATACCATCGTGAAGCGCTGCTACGACGTCGATCTGACGATTCCTACCGCAGACGACTCTCCTGGGATTCCCCACTTCCCTTCTCACGAAAAGGTGACCGTCTCGCAATAAGTAGCGCTGCAGCATCCTTTGATCCCTATCGCTCACATCTCTTAGCCGCATTTCACATGACAGAAGAAGCCCCAGCTCTAGGTAGATCCCGTCGTACTCCTCTGCACGAAAAGCTTCCTTAATTTTCCCTTCTTCGAACTCGTCGTCCTGGCTCTCGGGTATTTCGTCCACATTCCCTGCCGGGTTCAACGAGCCTGACTGGTCTAGGCTTTCCTGCAATAACGTATTGACGAGGAGATACATTCCTCCCATCAGGTCCTCATGCCGTTCTACCTGGCCTGGTCCTTCCTCAATCGTCCTCATATCCTCCACCAGGCTATGCGAGCTGGCCAACGCTAATTCCATCATCCACTGGACATCCTAAACGGCCCAGGGATCCTCTTCTTTAAAGGGTTTGAGGACCAGCTCGGTCCTCCTTTCATATCCGCTCGGCGCTTGCCAAATAGGATAGCCTACACAGCTGGGCACTCGCGGCGACCACTTATTGATATGGAGACGAACATCTTCTTCCTGATCCAGAAATCCATCAACTGGGGGCGTATTCTTCACCGCCTCCCCTTCCTGCTTATCCCAGTTGATCCGACTCAGCCCGTCTGCCCGGTTCTTACTACCAGGAATCCGTTCTAATTCGAAATTGAACATCCAGATGTACGTCAGCCATCTGGCAATCGTCAGATCCGATGGAACGTAATTCCTTAGAGAGTAGGCCAGGGCTGTCGGATCCACTCTCAAAATAAATCTCCTGCCGAAAACATAGTTCCGGAAGATTCGCAGACAGTGGAGGACAACAAGGGTCTCCCTGTTGAACTGAGAGTAGTTCCTCTCTGTCGTACTGAGAGTCCGGCTCTCAAATCGCAAGGGCCTTTCCTTTTCTTCCATGTCTGCCTGTATTAGAACTCTCCCTAAGGCGGTCGGTCCCGCATCCGTTTCGACAATGAAGGGTCGAGTCTCTGTGGCGTCATAATCTGGCGCTCCTAACACCAACCCTCCTTCTCGGAATTCCTCTTTCATTTTTGCCACCACCTCTTCTTGTTCCTCACCCCATACCCATTCCTGATCCTCACGGACTAACTTCCTCATGTGTTCAGTCTTAGCGGCAAAGTTCTTGACGAAGGCCCTCCAAAATCCACACGTACCAAGGAAGCTCCTGACATCAGTTATTGAGTGGAACGGAACTGGCCACTTAGTAATCTTGTCCGTCTTCTTCACATCCGGCCTTCTGCCCTTCTTATTGCAGACTATCCCCAAGATAGTCGCTTCCCTCATGCAGTGTCTGGATTTGGCCCCGCTTGCCGTGAGGTTATGCTTTTCGAGTAGGCTCATGACCTTTTCGAGGTCCTGAATGTGTTTCCAGACAAAGCGCCTTACCCCTGGTGAGACTTCGTCGCTCTCTTTCATCGCCGGCCCCTTCACTGCCAAATCGTCAATGTATGGCTGTGTGATATGGGGGCTTACTAACTGCATGGCCCGAATCATGGCCCGTTGGACCATTGCTACTGCGTTGGTCCACCCTTGTGGGGCCACGTTCATGTGGACTAATCCTCGCGGCGTGTGCATAGCTGTCACCGACCTATCCGGCGGGTAGACTGGGAACTGATCGTATCCTGAGTAAAGGTTTATAAGCGAAATTATAGGCCTTCCGGCGCAGGATTCCGATAACGCGTCTGCATTTGGCAGTCCTCCCGCATCTCGCACGGTCACTGCATTCAATCTTTGCAAATCCTGCATCCACCGCAGCGTCCCGTTAGGCTTAATAAAACAGAACCACGGGGACGCATACGGTCCACTTAAATAGTCGGCGACGTGAGTACGTATCTTGCCGTCGAGATAATCCACCACCTTCCTTTCTTCGTCAGGATTGGGATATCGCGCCCCTCTCATGTTCCAAGGCTCGTGTGGCACGGTGTGGATGTGGATCATAGGTATCTTATCTACATCCAGCCTGCCACGCTCCTCGTCACTAAACACATAGGCGCGATGCTTCCTCTTTATTAATTCCACCATCAGCGTTCGCTCCTGGGGCAGCAGGAAATCAGACTCCCCTACGATCAACTTCTTCTCGTTCCCTTCGTTGATACGATATGACCCTGCTAAAACACTTTCCCTCATTTGTCGAATGAACCCTCGTTCCCTCTCGTAATATGCTTCCTCGTCCTCTGTAACGAGGACGGGTACCGGGCGGCACTTCTTATCTACCGTCTTGTACCGTCTTTGAGGACCCTGCTTGAGCCGTCCCCTAAAAAAGGCCGACTCACGGATTGTGTTTGCGCTGATGCGGGGTTCCCTCTACTGCCTGGGAACCGATATACCCGTTCCAACCTTCCTGCTTCAGGGCATTCCAGAACTTGTTCCCTCAAGGCCTGGATGGCATCCAGATCTGCCATCTCATGCGCGACCACCAGGTCCATGGCCTTCCCAACATCTGACAGGCTGAGGGAAAATACTTTCACCCTCTCTCCTGCTTCGGGCTCTGCCCAGAGCCTCCTGCGCTCCCCTTTCGACTCCTCGATTGTGAATGATCCTGGATTGGGCCGGTTCCTTATACTCCTTGGCCCGGTATTTCTGCAAGTAATTATTTCATAATTTTCGCAGGCAGGATCGCATAAGAGGAGGATCAACGTCCCATCATGTTTGTTGAACATCACGGTCTCTGTCGTGCTTAGGAATGACCTCCCCAGGAGGATTCCATGGTCCACATCTGGCATTATGAAGAAACATGCCCTGGCCTTCACCTTTCCAACCTCGACGAGCACATTCGAGGTTGTCCCGCAAAACATGGCCT